GAGCAAGACTGTCTCAAAAAAGGAAAAAAAAAAAAAAAGACCTAAATAATTGGATAGGCCGGGCGCGGTGGCTCACGCCTGTAATTCAAGCACTTTGGAGGCCAAGGTGGGCAGATGACCTGAGGTCGGGAGTTCAAGACCAGCCTGACCAACATGGTGAATCCCGCCCTTAAAAATAACAAATAATTTAAAAATAAATAAATAAATGGATAGAAAACCACCTTGTGCTAATGGATGAAAAGAATTGATATCAATACTACCCAAAGCCATCTACAGATCCAAGGCAATGTCTAACAAAATTCCAAAAGCCCTTTTTGCAGAAATGGAAAATCTGATTTTCAATTAATATGAAATTCCAAGGAAATACAAAAGAAAACAGAAATTCCAAGGAGCTTGTGTTATGAGCTGAACTGTGTCCTCCTGCCCTCTCAATTCACATGTTTGAGTCCCTAACCCCCAGTACCTCAGAATGTGACTGTATTTGGAGACAGGACCTTTAAAGCATTGATTGAGGCTGGGAGCAGTGGCTCACACCTGTAACCCCAGCACGTTGGAAGGCCGGGGTGGGTGGATCACCTGAGGCCAGGAGTTCAAGACCAGCCTGACCAACATGGTGAAACCCGTCTCTACTAAAAATACAAAACTTAGCTGGGCGTGGTGGCAGGTACCTCTGATCCTAGCTACTCAGGAGGCTGAGCCACGAGAATCGTTTGAACCAGGGCGGTGGAGGTTGCAGTGAGCCAAGATCATACCATTGCACTCCAGCCTGGGCAAAAACAGCAAAACTTTGTCTCAAAAGAAAGAAAGAAAGAAGTGGTTGAGTTAAAATAAGCCTGTTAGGGTGGTCCCTAATCTAATCTCACTGGTACCCTTATACCGAGGAGAAATTTGGAGCCATTGAGTGACATCAGTGACGCAATTACACCAAGAAAACACCATAGAGGATGGAGCAGGAAAGCAGCCATCTGCAAGCCAAGGAGAGGCTTCAAGAGAAACCATACCTGCTGACACCTTGATCATAGATCTGTGAGAAAATAAAATTCTGTTGTTTAAGCAACCCAGTTTGTGATATTTTGTTTTTTGTGGGTTTTTTTAGAGATGGGATCTCGCTCCATCGCCTGGGCTGGAATGCAGTGGTGGGATCTCAGCTCACTGCAACCTCCGCCTCTCGAGTTCAAGTGATCCTCCTGTCTCAGCCTCCCGCGTAGCTGGGACCACAAGCGCACATCACCGTGCCTGGCTCATTTTTCTATTTTTAGTAGAGAGGGGGTTTTGTCATGTTGGCCAGGCTGGTCTCAAACTTCTGACCTCAGGTGATCCGCTCGCATTGGCCTCCCAAAGTGTTGGGATTACAGGTGTGAGCCACTGTAACCAGCCAAATTGTGGTATTTTCTTATGGCAACCCTAGAAAATTCACATAACTCAAATGGCCCCCCAAAAAATAAATCTTGAACAAGAAGTTGAGAGGACTCACATATAGACCACAGGAATAGAACTGAGAGTTCAGAAATAAACTTGTACATCTGTGGCCAGTGGACTTTTGACAAGGGTGCTCAGTTTGTTCAGTGTGGAAAGGACAGTCTCTTCAACAGATGGTGAAGCTGGACCCGGACCTCATACCATACGCTAAAATTTTAAAAATGAATCAAAGACCTAAATATACAAGCTAAAACTTTAAAACTCTTAGAAGCAAACACAAGAGTAATTCATGACCTTGGACTAGGCAGTGGATTCTTAGATATGATACCAAAAGCACAGGCAACAAAAGAAAACAGAGAAAACCACAACTTCATCAAAATAAACTTTTTGTTATCAAAGAACACTATCAACAGAGTTAAAGGCAACCCACAGAATGAGAGAAAATATCTGCAAATCGGCCGGGCACGGTGGCTCACGCCTGTAATCCCAGCACTTTGGGAGGCTGAGGCAGGTGGATCATGAGATCAAGAGATCCAGACCATCCTGGCCAACATGGTGAAACCCCGTCTCTACTAAAACTACAAATGTTACCCGGGCGTGGTGGCATGTGCCTGCAGTCCCAGCAACTCGGGAGGCCGAGGCAGGAGAATTGCTTCAACCCAGGAGGCGGAGGTTACAGTCAGCCGACATCATGCCTCTGCACTCCAGCCTGGTGTCTGGTGACAGAGTGAGACTCTGTCTCAAAAACAAAGAAAATATCTGCAAACCACATATTTCATAAGGGATTAATATCCAGAATATATAAGGAACTCTTACAACTCAAAAACAAAATGAATCACTTGATTAAAAAATGGGCAAAGTATTGGAATGAACATCTCTCCAAAGACGACATAAAAATGGTCAACACGCACACGAAAAGATGCTTGACGTCACTAACCATGCAAATCAAAGCCACAGTGAGACACTTCCACCTCACAACATTAGGAGGGCTACTTTTTTTTTTAATGGAAAAGAACATGCTGGCAAGGATGAGGAAACCTCAGAAGTCTAGTGCATTGATAGTGAGAATGTAAAACGGTGCAGCAAAATATGATGTATGGCATTTCCCCAAACACAGAATGACCGTATGACTTAGCAATTCCACTTCTGCATATATAACCAAAAATTGAAAGCAATGATTCCAACAGATATTCGCACACCCATGTTTACAGCAGCATCATTGACAACAGCCAAAAGATAGAAACACACAACCCATGTCCTTCAACAGATGGATACACAAGTGTGGCACATACACACAATGGAATATTATTCAGCCACAAAAGGAATATCACTTTGATATATGCTGCAATACAGATGGACCTTGAAAACATTACGCTTGGTGAAGCCAGGCATAGAAAGACAAATATTGTATGATTTCACTTATGTGAGGTACCTAGAAAAGGCAAATTCATAGAGACACAAAGTGGAAGTGAAGCTACTTGGGGTTTGGGAAAAGAGGGACTAGGGAGTGGTTTAATCATTACAGAGTTTTTACTGGAGATGATGAAAAAGTTTTTTGAGTATACACGATGATACGTAACATGAATGCATTTAACATCACTGAACTGGACACTTATGGGGGGTTAAAGTGATAAAGATTATATTTAACCACACTTTAAAATCAACACTTTACCAAATTTCATACAATAGATGACAGTTAAATGAGAGGAAATGAAGTTCACTTCCATCATACATGACAATATAAATACCTTCCACAAAGTATCTGATGAATCATATAATGACAACCATGACTTTGAAACACTTGACATTTTTGCAGGCTTTGGAATTTCTCCGAATAAGCCTTTTTCTGCCCCACACATACTTTTACTACAAGCAGCTGTACCAGGGCTCAGCAGATTCCCACCTCAGCTTGCACTGAATTCGTGATTTCTAGTTTTCTTTAAAAATATTCTCACCCACAGTTGTTCTACGCAGATTATTCAGAAAGTCAAATTCTCATCTCTTCCACCTTGGCACTGACACCTTGAGTTGTATCAGTAACACCTCCTGACGTATCAAGAGCCCATGAAAATCACTCAGAATCATTTGCCTTCTTTTGGCAAATCAGAGACAGGGTCTCACTCTGTGGCCCATGCTGGAGATAGCACACTGCAGCTTTGAACTCCTGGGCTCAAGCAATCCTCCCACCTCGGCCTCTCAAGTAGCTGGGACTTTAAAATTAGCGTGCCACCACACCTGGCTCATTTTTTTTTTTTTTTTTTGGAGACAGAGTCTGACTCTGTTGCCCGGGTGGAAGCAGAGATGCAATCTCAGCGCACTTCAACTGCCGACTCCTGGGTTCAAGTGATTGTCCTGCCACAGCCTCCTGAGTCACTGGGATTAGTGGCACCTGCCACAGCACCCGGCTAATTTTTTTGGTAATTTTTAGTAGAGCGATGGTTTCACCATCTTGGCCAAGCGGGTCTTGTACTCCTGACCTCGTGATCCACCCACCCTGGCCTCCCAAGTGCTGGAATTATACCACTCCTAGCTTTTTTTTTCTTTTCACTTTTAGTAGAGACAGAGCTGCCTTATGTTACCCAGGCTGGTCTTGAACTCCTAGCCTCAAGCAATCCTGCCTCAGACTCCCAAAGTGCTGAGCCTCCAAGCCCTACATTCCTAAATGTTTAAAAGATGAAGAAGAATTTGCCAGTGAAAATTCAAATTTCAATGCCCATAAAGTTTTATTGGAACACAGCCATATGGGAACACGTGCTGGCATCACAGTTCTCCAGCCTGGGTGACAAGGTGAGAACTTCTCTCAAAAAAACACAAAAATAAAAAAATAAAAGCCATTTTTATACATCTGCTGGAGGGTGGTCTTAAAATAAAAACAAAAATTAAAAAGCCGTTTTTAGTTTCTGACACACACACAAACAAGCAGCTGGCTATAATTTGCCAAACTCTGCAGGTGAAAAGGGAAAATGAGTATTATTCATATTACTCACAAATTCTAATAGGGAAAGAGGCAACCTCAAGTACAGAGGAAGGAAGGCAGGAAGAACTCCGAGTGCGGGTTCTTTGAAACTATCGATAAAACAGTCAAACACATGACATGTTTAATTCAGAAAAGGAAGACTATGAAATATGAGACATAATGGATTTGGAATCTTCCTAATGACAGCAGAAAACTACACATAATTACATACTAATCTAATGCAAAGTCTTGATGCCATAGGCAGTACAGGAAACAAGATACAGGGGAAATGTGTGCTCCGTGAAAAACTATGCGTGGATAAGAGCAGTCACCGGGTTCTGATTCAAAACTCCAGGGGCTCTGAACCTTCCTTCCACTGCCTTCCAGCGATTTTGAAACTTTGTAAGTTGTAGATCCCTGAGAGCACGCAGAAAATTCCTCTATGGAGACTCACAAATGGCCCCTATGGTGAAACCCCATCTCTACTAAAGATGCAAAAATTAGCTGAGCGTGGTGGCCGGCACCTGTAATCCAAGGTACTCAGGAGGCTGACGCAGGAAAATCGCTTCAACCTGTGCTGAGATCACCTCACTGCACTCCAGCCTGGGCGACAGAGGAATACTGTCTCAACAAATAAAATAAAATAAAAGATTGTTCCAATAGAGCTCCAGTTGACTGCCCCACTGCAGAAGCAAGAGGCTAGTTTAGTTTTGTGTCCATTTATAAATTCGTTTCAACGTTACTCTACTCCAAATTAATTTGTCCTTCTTTGACTTCTCCTTTAAACTCATATAACATCACAGTTCCCCCAATTGAGGTGTTTTGTTTGATTTTTTTAATCCTTGGTCGGGCGCAGTTGCTCAGACCTGTAATCCCAGCACTTTGGGAGGCCAAGGTGGGCAGATCATTTGAGGTCAGGAGTTCCAGACCACCCTGGCGAAACTTCCATCTCTAGCAAAAGTACAAAAACTAGCCAGGCGTGGTGGCGGGCCCTGTAGTGCCAGCTACTGGGAAGGCTGAGGCGGGAGAATGGCTTGAACCCGGGAGGCGGAGGTTGCAGTGAGCCAAGATCCTGCCACTGCACTTCAGCCCGGGCGACAGAAAGACTGCGTCTCAAAAAATGAAATATATTTTTAAAATCTTAAACATCTGTTTATTTTATATCACTATGTAACTTTTCTCTGTCGAAAATAAAGAACGACCTTACAGGAAAAAAAGGATTACCTCCAAAAGTGTCGGGGGCACTTCCCATCTTCAGCCGGCTGTGTCCTTGACGCGGAAGGCAGAAGACAGTCCAGTCCAGCTGATGCCAACAGCGTGACTCTGACCCACAGGAGTCGGGAGGATGCCCGTGGGGGCCCGCAGAGCGCACTGCACCGAGAGCTCCGCAGGAACACCTGTGCCGGGCCCGCCCCAAACCGAAACAAACCGCAGCCCGGGCGGGGCGGGGCCTGACCGTTTGCGTTTAACGAGGTTCAGGGAGCGCCAATGAGCACGATGATGAGTCGTGTTTTAGGGGAAAGAACCAAAGCCCAGAGAGGTCCCAGCACAGCGGGAGCCTCGGTCACAGCGGCCCCCGCAGTCCCAGCGCCGCCGCCCGGGGCCGCGGAAGCAGCTGTGACCAACGCCGTGACCGAGGCCCCCGCTGTGCTGGGACCTCCCGCCCTCACTGCGGATCTACCTTACCTGGGGCAGGTGTCCGAGGTGGGCGAGCTGGGAAGGTGACAGTGATGGCATCGCCCCCAGTGGAGGAGGGTGGCAAGTATCACAGCAAGCGGCCCAGCTTCATTATTCTGGGTCATTTTTCTCAGTTTGGGTTTTGTATGAGCTCCCCCTGTCTCAGCTCCCCGCCCGGCCATCCTTACACAGAGCTCAGTCCTTTCCTCACCACTGACACCAGACCTGGGGGAGGGGCTTCTTTATGCAGAGCTGTGTTTACAGGGTAAGAGTATTTGCTCTCAATGCTCTACCCCGCCCTCCCCCACACACATACACAAAAGTTTGCTGGGAAGAAATAAGCTCTTCCATACAGTGCAATAGGAATACATATAAAGGAGTGATGGATAACATCACCTATGGATGCTAAAGCCAGTGGGCAAAAAATTGACGAAGAACAGATATTCTGCCTCAGAATTTCTGCTCACAATCACAAAGGGGAAAAGTTTACATCAGAGAAGCTTGACAGATGCACCTTCATGCAAGTGCTCAAAGTAGACCTCGGGAGGCTGAAGTGGGAGGATCACTTGAGCCCAAGAGGTCAAAGCTGTGATTGTCCCACTGCATTCCAGCCTGGGGGACAGAGTGAGAACCGGTCTGTAAATAAATAAATAAATAATAAAGAACTATATATATATATATACATGTAGTTAGGAGAAATCGTTCTGGTGTCTTTAGCACTACATGGTGACAATAATTGATGACAACTTATTATATATTTTCAAATAGCTAGAGGAGTGGATTTTGAATGCTCCCAGAACAAATCAAGGATAAATGCTTCAGGGGGTGGAGGCACTGATTGCCCTGATTTGATCATTACACGTTGCACACATGTATAAAAATGTTATACTGTGCCCAGAAATATGTGCAGTTATTATGGGTTATTTACTATAATAATAAAAGCAAAAGATGTAGTCTTTTAGAGATTTTCAAGCATATATTATTATTACCTATAGTCATCATTCTGTACAACAGGTCCCAGAACTTAGTCACATTATCTTTAATTCTGATCAAATTACTGGATACACAGAGCTAAGAACAAAATGGTATCTGGAGCAAGACGTCAGTGAAACAGGAAACGAAGACAAGACAAAATGTGATACAAGGCTTCTAGCACAAAGCATTTCTTGTGGCCTTTCCCTTCTTGCCTTTGAGTGCTAACGCCCAGATTCCAACACTTTCAACTCATTTCGCCATTTCCTCTGGTATTTATCATTATATTTCTAAATAATGTTTATGTTGAATTGTTTTCCTCAGTATCTGTCAACTTCACGGCATAGCACAGTATAGGGCTCACCTCCCTTATGAGGTCTTAACAATTCCCTTGCCTCCATTCAACCAATGTCACTAGATCATAATCTTAGGAAATCAACAGCATCGCGGGGCTCGGTGACTCACACCTGTAATCCCAGCACTTCGGGAGGC